ATCAACAAACAAACAAAAAAATGAATAATTTTGACAGCATTGGTAAACCAGCGGTGGGTAAGGCATCCTGCATGGGTAAACGTGACATCAAAATCGAATCATTTACGTGAGATAAAGAAAATGAGGCACTCGGGAGGAGGAAATGCCGGCTGTTGCTTGTTCTCACATGACAGCATCAAACTTCTGACACACTGACCCCAGGGGATCTTTTGAAAAACTTTCAGTTGTTTTATTCAAAGTCAACGAAAACAGAGCAGGACCAAGCCATTTTACAGCTGATCGCCGTCAAAAAAGCTCAGCGGCGACATCCCAAGGTTGACAACAGCGATATGCAGAAGTAACGTTAGATCATGCTTAATAAATCATAATTCATGATGATGTGCTCATCTTAGTTAATGTTTTAATTAAGGTGCTGTTCATCCATGAAATCATGAATGAAAAACGTTGAACTGTTAAAAAAAACGTTGTTAGTTCCTGATGATAATAATGAATGCATAATTCATGCATTCATTTAGGCTATACATTAATTCATGATAATTCATGACATGTACCCTTACCGTAAAGTGTTACCGAATATTGTTATATTAAAGCAATGGATTTATAGTATGCACAAGAAAACAAATTCAAAGTGTATACAATTTTATTTTGATTAATTGCATTTTGAAAACCAAAAATGGATTTATGGCATTTTGGGGAAAAAAATCAGTTTTTATAATAAATCTTTGAAAATCAAAACCTGGATTCAATTTTTTATTGTTATTATAACCTACAAATGCCATGTGAAAATTTGAAACAGAAAATAGTGGTTTTCATCTTCCCATTTTCTTGCTAAAGAAAACACAGTTTTACTCAAATTAATCAAAATGGATTTATAGCGTTTTGGAACCAAACTCTTCATATATATATATATATATATATATATATATTAGGGCTGTGCAAAAGTTAATTGCGATTAATCGCATCCAAAATAAAAGTGTGTTTACATAATATATTTGTGTGTGCTGTATAATTATTTTGTATATATAAATACACACACATGCTTGTATATATTTAAGAAAATGTGTTATTCATATATAAAATATTTATATTTATATAATATAGATTATGTATTTATAAATATATACAGAATTTAAACGCAAATAATTCTTAAAAATATACATGCATGCATAGGTATTTATATATACAAAATAATTATATACAGCGCACACAAATATATTATGTAAACACAGACTTTTATTTTGGATGCGATTAATCGCAATTAACTTTTGCACAGCCCTAATATATATACTTTCACATTCTACGATTAAAAAACCTTCAAAATATGGGGTCTCTTTCCATTTGTACTCGGATGACACCCAAATTTATATCCCTATAAAGCGGGATAACAAGCAGGCCTTAAAGCCCATTTTGAACTGTTTGGAAGAACTAAAACACTGGCTTGAGTCAACTTCATGAGTCTTAATGAGAGTAAAACTGAACTTATTGTATTTGGTTCAAATGATGTACCTTGAACTTGCATCTTTGTCACCTTATACTACCACATGTGTCAGAAACTTTGGTGTCTGGCTTGATAATAATCTGAAATTCGATAAGCAGATAAATACTGTGGTTAAGTCGTGTTTTTACCATCTTCGTCTCCTGTCAAAGGTGAAGCCATTTCTTTCTCTAAAGAAATTTGAAATAGTTATGCATTCTTTCGTAACATCTGGACTGGACTACTGTAATTCTGTGTAGGTGCCCCTCAGGCTTGTGTTTCATGTCTACAATTAGTTCAGAATGCAGCGGCTCGGCTTCTCTATGGAAAACGTAAATATGATTCTGTCATGCCAGTATTGATCTCACTACATTGGCTGCCGATCAAATGTAGAATTGATTTCAAAATTCTATTGTTTGTTTTTAAATCCATTCGTAATGAGACACCACAGTATTTAACAGATTTGCTACACCCCTACGTTCAGTCAAGGTCACTTAGATCTGCAAACTCCGGACTATTGCAAGTCCCCAGGACAAGATTAAAAAATAGAGGTGATCGTGCCTTCTCTGTCGTCGGCCCTAAATTATGGAATACTCTCCCGGTTCATATTAGAACTGCCACAACTTTATCTACTTTTAAGTCCTCTCTCAAGACGCATTTATTTTCTTTGGCGTTTTAATATACCTTGATTTGCTGTTTCAGGATTTTATTTTTATGTGTTACACCTATTTTACAGCTTTTATTTTTTAATCTTCTTTTGTACAGAACTTTGGTCAACCTCGGTTGTTTTTAAATGTGCTTTATAAATAAACCTTGTATTGTATTGTATTGTAAAAAAAAAATGAAGGAGCTACACCTGTTTGAAGTCGAGTTAATTTGGGAATGTTAAGATGTTCTCTGGTCTGAGGTGTTTTCTGGGTCCTGGAGGTGTTCTGACATGCTCTGACATTTGTGCTTATTTCTGATACTTGTGACATTTTCATGGCTAAAGTCTGATTACACTAGCCTGGCTGCGCCCTCCTACGCACTTCTGCTCCATTTCATTTCCCTTCAGTACTGCGTCTGGGACTGCTGTGTATCCTTAGGTTTCCAGAAATCAATTTTTTGTAGGACCAATCAGCGAATAGAGGGAGTGTCTGAGGACGATGACGTTGATGTAAGCGCGTCAGTTTGAGTTCAGTAATGGCAGCGGAGAAAGACCTGAGAAAAGCTATTCGGTCCGTTGTTGGAAAAGAAACTGCCGAATATACAGAATTTAAAGCCGGATTGTTAACGTCTCACCTCTTGTTGCACAACGGAGGACCAAGTGAAGGAGGCAGAAAGTTTGGAAGTTTGTGCTGGGCAGCTCGTGCACGATGACCGTGACATTTTGGACGGACGGTTTAGCCTGGTGTTCGCGGTGTTCAGAAGCCCCGAGTCCTGGCTGCTAAACTATTGTTGAAGATCCGCTCAGGAGTCATGTCAGTCGCTCATATTCCCAACTGTAAATTTACTGATTCTTATGATGAATAGAACATTTTGAGCCCCTTTGTGTACTCGTGCGGGAGGTTGGTGTGTCAGTTTTACATGTTGTAAATCATACAAATTGGTTGTGATTTTTTAAAAATAATTGTCATAAATAAAAATGTGAAAACCCATACTTTGAAGATATTTGATTTTCAGTTTTAGATGGCAATGGTTGATTTGTTTTAATAAAAAAAACTAAATGCCACATAAAAATGTACAAACACATACTTTGAAGACCATAATTAAGGTAATTAAGAAACAATAAGACGTAATATGAAAAAATTGTGTTTATTACACATCTGCAGATAGAGACAGACTGATCATTCACTGTAGCAGCTACAGCATTTGCGGCAGATCAGAAAACGACCACAGCTGCGTATTTGTAATGATTAGACACAGCTTCCACCGTTGAATGAATATATCACTGTCCTTCGTGTCAAATATACATTTCGAATTAATAATTGTTCCTAGATTAACAAAACCTGCAGCGCTCGTTGACTGAAATCCTATTGTAAACAAAACCTGCAGCGCTCGTTGACTGAAATCCTATTGTAAACAAATCCTCTGATCATTCGGACTTGTTGTTTCCAGCCATTTCGGCGTGTGACATACGTCACTCACGACCACACGTTAGCGATTGGCTATGGCAGATCGTGAGTGACTTTGGGCAGATCCAATAGATTTGAACTTTAATAGTGAACCCGCCTACAAGGAAGGAAACATTTCTCAATGAAGCGATTCCAGACTCTATGTGCAAATGAAATGTACTAGAGTCTGGTTGAACCAGGCTATGATTACACTGTATTCAGCACAAACTCTGCTACAATAATATGTCAGCAGCATGTATGTAAAAGTTTGTTGTTTTAAGATAATGACATTTATGTGTGGTTTGTGAAAAAAAATGTAACTGAAATAAGGTCATGAAACCCATACCGATTATTTCTTTTCAAGACTTTTGAAAATTGTATCACGTAGCCTACAATATTTGCTCCAAAACTATGTGAAAATCATCCTGCCTACTCATTCAGATAAAACATTATAATGATTTAAAATTTGAAAGACATGTATACATATAGACATGTAGACATGTACACATATATTTGTGTAATAAAGCTTTGTGCGAGTAGGCGTGGATCAACCAGTAATATTGATGTCTGCTCCTGAGAAAGACAAAGACCCTCTCATAATGGCCCTATAATGTGCTATCATTATGAGGAGCCTTGCACAAAGAATGAGGAGAGACTTAAAAAGAATGTCTTGGGTTTATTTACAACACAACATAATCCAAAGATACACAACTAATGACAAAAAAGCACATTATTGAACAGACAGATCTAAAGACAGAGATTTAAATAATCACACACCTCCATGCCATTGAAACATAGTACATACCTGTCATTTCCAATGTGTTTGATTTTTCACTTTACCATGTTCATGTACAGAGACTCATTTGAATATTGAAGTCAACAGGACTCATCAGTGGGGCATCTGGTCCCTGTATAAAAAAAAATTTAAAATAAAAATAAAAAAACACCAGCTATGAACATGCTGATTTCCAGAGAAACTTTGGGCTCCACGGTTTTGGGAATAAATTTTAGATCTTTCTGGTTAAAATTACTTTTTAAAATTTACAAAATGTGCACACACACACCCACACACACACACACACACACATATATATAAGGTTTTTTTGTGCCTTGTAGGAATATAGGCTATGTGCAGTGCTGCATAAAACATTATAATATTCACCATGTTAGAGTAAACACTCATTCAAGCCTACTTTTATCATGCTGTTTTATTATCGAACATAAAAATGTCCTTGTGTGGTACTTGCATGTATATACATTTAGCATTGAAAGGTTGTTTCTGTCTACATATAGATACACATACATATATACGACATTAGGCTTTTTACTCCAATCACATTTCATAACGAACATTTTAGTCTGGTTCCAGTTCATTGACCTTAAAAATTAAAAAGGTTTGTTTTAATACTGTGTTGATGATTTCTTTGATGCAGATGGCTCATGACATCCTTCAGGCACGTGGAAACCTGCAGCTTCACTCCTTGTTAACTCTGGTGGAGGAGAATGGTGTGTGGTCCAACTCCACTCTGTGTAGCCTTCTCTCAAGTGACATCCCTAATGTAGAGAAAGGTAAAAATGATTTTACCATCTATCACTTTTTTAATTTGGAATATTCTCTCTTTTATGGTTTATACTTATTTGTTCCAAATTTTGGTAATAATGACATTCATTTATAATTATACTGCTACTATTTTTAACTTGTTTGGATGTGCGTCTTCTGTAGTACATGAGTTTTTATCTCGAGAAGGACCTGAACTTCTTCATATGCGTATAAAGCACCTCATCAAACTGAAGCGTATGGATAAAGCTGCAATACTGGCAAAGATATGCGCAGAGTTTCCTGAATTTGGAGGAAAGAAGAACTTTAAACAAATCTACCTCGTATGTCTGTGTGAAATAAAGCCACAACAAGAACTTATGCAAGAGGTGAGGGTCTTTTTTAAAATCAGTCTATATTGTATTAATGCTGAAGTTCAAGCATATTTACAAATTTATTTCTTCTCTAACATGTTTGTTTTGAAATTATAATCAGGCTGTTTATGTTGCTTATGATATCGACAATTACAGTTGTATGCATGAGTGGATTGTAAATGAAAAGCTCTCCTCTGAAACAAGCAGTCTTTATTTGTTGAACTAAGCAGTTTGAGCACCTCTGGTGGTTACTCTTTTTGTTGAACTTCAGAATTAATATTTTAAAGGTGCCCTATACTGGTTTTTTAAATTATTTTATAATGTTTCCTGGGTTGCCCTTATAATGTTAGTATGTTTTTTAGATCAAAAATAGTCATAATTTAGAAATAAAAGGCATTTTTCCTAGCCTGATTTTAGCTTCTGCTTTGAACAGTCTGATTGAAAGGGCGTGTCTGCTGTGTGTAACCGGCCTCTGCTGTGATTGGCTGACATGCTTGCATATGAAATAGCTATGTATGACATGTGAAACTCTGTCGAATAATTACTACAGCTATTATAGGTTTTTACTATTACAGCTATCGAGATTAACGAATCGTGAGATGTTTTTGAAGTATTTAGATCTATTCCCATCACATAAAGTGTTGCTGTGATTGAGCAAGCAAAGGACAGTGAGTGTGTCGATCGCGAGAATGAAGATCTTATCATTGCAATGCAGTCTCTCTAACGTTACTCTCTAATGCAGCAGACACGATGATGTAAATACAGTTAACGTGTCGTTAGAGCTTCGTTGTGCAGTGTAACGTGCGTCATTGAATTCATAACGAGTTTGGCAAGTGTCCAGATAAACTCGCGCTGTGATTGTTCTTTGATCGCTTTCTTTTTGTATATAATTCACAATTTAAAATAAGATTTTTTTTTTCATCCTACTAAAATAAACGATGTGAAGTTGATTTTTAATCACTGGCCTGACTTACTGATACGATTTTAAAGTGAAAGATTACCTGTCTGAACGTAACAACAACACATCAGCTCGATCCGAGGCCAGCTCTTGGCAAGTTGAGGAAACAAGTCGTGGGTGAAATGGTTGAAAATTTCCAGAGAAAATAAAATTAATCCATTGTTTCTTCAGAGGCTCGGACGAAGGAACTAAAATATACTTTTTTTATTCGTGTGTAGATCCGAACACTGATCAACTGCCATGCTTCGGCTGCACAGCTCCGTCTCGTCTGTCACTGAACATGGGCTGGCATTATGCAAATATTTTGGGTCATACATATTAATGATCCCAGACTGTTGCGTCAGGGGTGTTTTTCAAAAACGAGATTTAAATAAGAAGGAGAAAATAATGATGTTTGAGACTCACTGTATGTCATGTCCATGTACTGAACTCTTGTTATTTAACTATGCCAACATAAATTCAATTTCACATTATAGGGCACCTTTAAAATGTATATAGTCTTGCACAACATGAATATATGAATGCCTCGTGTCTGTGTCATGATAGAATCAATATAATTTTTGAAGGGTTAGCTCACTCAAAAAATGAAATGTAACATTCATTTACTCACCCTCATGTGGTTCCAATCCCAGACTTTGAAGAAGATCTTCGGGGCACAAATGAATATTTTTAATATGCTATCATCCATGATCAATTCATATACATAGAGTTCCTCAAATATGGTAAGCATGAAGGCTCAATTATACTTGCTTGGCATGAGGGAACAAACCCCATTGGGCTTCTGTGTTTGCCCTGTTTGATGTGTGTACAGTATGTGCATTATGAATGTGTGTTGTTCAGTGTTTATATTGGAGTAAAAATCTAAACCTGACTGTAATATCATATAAAGTTCTTCTAAAGACTGTGATTAAACCACTCGATTCATACAGATTACTTTTACCATGTTTTTTTTTTTTTTTTTTTGTAGGTTTTGATGCATATGACATTTTTTGTTGCATTCAGTTTCAATAGCGGGACAAAAATGATGAGAATTTTCATTTGTGTTACAAAAGATAAGAACAGACAAAAGAACAGAATTCTTTTGGGTTTGGACCATGAACGAGGGCCTCAAATTAGCTTTATGCTGTATGGCCTATGTACACGGCATTGGTTGTCTGTGTGTTACAATGCCTAGTGTATTGTCCCTGTTAAACAAACAAAATGGGTGAGCAAATGATGACGAAACTTTCCTTTTTGTGTGATCTATCCCTTTCATTAATCTGTTATTATTATTATCATTATTATTTTATTATTATTGTTTAATTTGCATAAACTTGACTATTGCAAATAATGTGTAACCTAAATTTACTCTGTTATGTTTGGTAGATAAAGGAGGTAGACTGTAAGGAGGCTCTGGACATGATTTGTAATTTGGAGTCCGAGGAAGATGAGAAGGGAGCTCTCAGTCTATGTACTGCATTTTTCAAACGCCAGCTTCTCAGTGGGGATGCTTATTGTGCCTGGTAAGACATTTGTTCTGATTTTTAAAGGTGAAGTATGTAGTTTCTGCGAGTGTCACCTAGGAGAATTAGTGAAATGAAGCATATTTTAAATCAACCTTGCAAATATTGCATAGCACCACCACCAACTCAAACATCACAAACACAGATCTTAAAGGGGACATATCATGCAAAATGCACTTTTTTAGCCCTTAAATGCATTTTGGTGTATATTTGGAGTGTTTATAAGTACAGAAAAGATTAAATTAAAAATTATTCTCTTCAGGTGCTTCGTTTATATCTTTATATTCTGTTTTGGTCATATTTTTCAACCTGTTCAGATTTTTCTGTTCTCTATGACGTTTTTTTCAACAATTCCGTCACAGTGTTTGCAGCGGAACTGACAAATAAGGTCCAACTACCAATCGACTACCGGTCCAACACTTCGAGCAATCCGCCATTATTATTTCTCGCTCCGATTTTGTAGTCCAAGCTCAATGATGCAGAAGTTAAGAGGGGGCAAGTCAAAATGTACGGTTGTTGGATGTTGGATGAAGTGGACCTGAAGCACTTCAAGGATTCCAACTTCAACAACCTCCGCCAGTATAAAGAAGGGTTTGCCGATTGACTTTGTCTAAATGAGGGGTAAATTCCCTATCATTTAGCTGCTGTGTTTTCTGATGCTTTTCTAAGTTATCATTTGTAATAAAGTTCAGTTAGGGGTGAAGAAGGAGACAGGATGGGCGAATAGAGGAGCTTGTGTGTTTTTATTTTGTTGATATCTCTTCCCACGGCGCCTCAGCGCTCTTCACAACCACAACTCAGAAATAAAACAAACATCAAATCATAAACTCTTTCCCGCTGTATACAGCTTTTTTCAAGTCTCTCGGACACAGTCTCTTCCCGCTGCTCAGACTGCCACACAAGCTCCCAGGTCTCTCTCTCCCTCCTCTCTCCCAGTCTGCGGCCTTTACGGTCTCCCCGCTCCAATCACTGCAAATAGACACAGCTGTTCATCATTTGCACTTGACCGACTTACTCTCCGCGCAGCTCATTGACTCGTCTCTCACTACAGACGCCGCGAAAACCACGCCCCCCTACCACATACCCCCACCGCCCGACTCAGGCCGGGGAACCGTCCGGCCTGCAGCCCCCCCCCAACCCCCCTCCTGGAGAGGAAGTCGGCCACCGCCATCTGCGTCCCCGGCCTGTGGACCACCTGAAACTTAAAAGGTTGTAACGCCAAATACCACCGGGTGATCCGCGCGTTGGTATCTTTCATGCGGTGGAGCCATTGGAGGGGCGCGTGGTCCGAACACAGGGTGAACTCCCGGCCCAGGAGGTAGTAGCGGAGGGTGAGGACAGCCACCGTATGGCCAAACACTCCTTCTCAATGGTGCTGTACATCGTCTCTCTCTTCGAAAGCTTCCGACTGATGTACAGCACCGGCCGTTCCTCCCCCCACCTCCTGGGACAGGACCGCGCCCCAAACCCCTGTCCGACGCGTCCGTCTGTAGGATGAAAGGGAGAGAAAAGTCAGGAGCATGCAAAAGCGGGCCGCCGCACAGAGCAGCCTTTATCTGGGTAAAAGCCCGCTGGCACTGCTCCGTCCACTGAATCGTATCTGGAGCACCCTTTTTAGTTAGGTCAGTCAGCGGGCTAGCGAGGTCCGAATAGTTAGGTACAAACCGTCTATAATATCCCGCTAGCCCAGGAACTGCCTAACCTCCTTTTTGGTCTTCGGACTTGGACAGGTTGCAACTGCAGCTGTCTTATCAATTTGGGGACGCACCTGTCCATGTCCCAAGTGGAACCCCAGATACTTTACTTCCACCCGCCCAATTGCACACTTCTTCGGGTTGGCCGTGAGCCCAGCTCGTCTCAGCGTTTTCAGGACAGCACGCAAATACTGCATATGACGCTGCCAATCATTACTATAGATGATGATGTCATCCAAGTAAGCAGCGGCATATGCAGCATGCGGCCGGAGAATTCTGTCCATCAACCGCTGAAAAGTCGCCGGTGCCCCGAACAACCCGAACGGAAGCGTGACAAATTGGTGTAATCCAAACGGCGTGGTAAAAGCTGTTTTTTCTTTGGACATTGGAGATAAGGGATCTGCCAATATCCCTTTGTTAATCCAGTGTCGAATAAAATCGAGCGGAACCAAGCCGATCAAGCAATTCGTCAATCCTCGGCATTGGATAAGCATCAAAACTTGACACCGCGTTCACCTTTCTATAATCCACACAGAACCGAACCGAGCCGTCAGGTTTCGGGACTAAAACTATCGGGCTTGCCCAGTCACTGTTGGATTCTTCTATTACCCCCAGGTCCAGCATTGTCTCTAATTCGTCTTGAACCACTTTTTTTTGTGTTCCGGTAAACGATACGGGCGGCAACGTACTACGGCCCCCGGATCAGTCTCAACGTGGTGCTGAATGAGATTCGTTCGGCCAGGTAGGGGCGAGAACACATCCGCAAACTCTGTTTGTAAATTCTTAATGTCAGTGAGCTGCGAGGGTGAGAGGTGGTCGCCAGAGGGAGCCAGAGCGAAGGAATGGTGTTTGATATTCGCTTCTGGCCCGAGGTCCTCCTCTCCACCTACCACCGTCGCCAGCATCACTGCCTCAGCCTCAACCCATTTTTTAAGCAGGTTGAGGTGGTAAATCTGACGTCCCCCGCCCCTATCTGTTCGCACTACCTCATAGTTGAGATCCCCAACCCGCCGTGTGACCTCAAAGGGCCCTGCCACTTTGCGAGTAATTTCGAACTGGACGTGGGAAGTAATACAAGGACCTTATCTCCCGGTGCAAATTGACGAAGTCTAGCCCCCCTATTATATTGCTGCCTCTGTCTGTCCTGGGCCTGTAACAAATTCTCCAAAGATAGCCGCCCCAAAGTGTGAAGTTTCGTTCTCAGGTCCAGGACATACTGAATTTCGTTTTTGCTAGCGGATGGTCCGTCCTCCCAAGTCTCCTTCAGTACATCCAACACCCCACGGGGTTGACAACCGAAAAGAAGCTCGAAAGGGGAAAACCCCGTGGAGGCTTGGGGGACCTCGCGTATAGCAAACAACAGGGGTTCTAGCCACTTATCCCAATTTTTGGCGTCTTCGTGAACGAACTTACGAATCATGGCTTTTAACGTCCGATTAAACCGTTCGACCAGACCATCCGTTTGTGGGTGATAGACGCTGGTGCGAATCGATTTAATGCCTAACAACTCGTAATGTTCGCGTATTGTCTTTGACATAAACGCCGTGCCCTGATCGGTGAGGATCTCTTTCGGGACCCCCACCCGGGAGATTAATGAAAACAGCGCGCTTGCGACACTCTTAGCTGAGATATTGCGAAGCGGAACTGCCTCCGGGTATCGTGTTGCGTAGTCCACTAAGACTAACGCAAAACGATGCCCTCGTGCTGACCGTTCTAATGGCCCGATGAGGTCCATGCCAATTCGCTCGAAGGGGACCTGCATCAGTGGAAGGGGGCACAAGGGTGCTTTTGGAGTGGCCGGTGGATTAACCAACTGACATTCGCGACAAGACGCGCACCACCTGCGCACGTTCTCGTGAATGCCCGGCCAAAAGAATCGGGCTATGAGACGGTTTAGTGTCGCCGTTTGCCCTAAATGACCGGCCATCGGATTACAGTGAGCCGCCTGGAAAAGCATTTCCCGACGGCTCTTTGGTACCAATAACTGGGTTGTATCCTCATTTGTCTGGGCGTCTCGGGCCACCCGATACAACCTATCTTTAATTATGCAAAAATAGGGGTAAGAGAGCGGTTGGTGCGGGTGGAGCAGCCGTCCGTCGATGGACTGGACCTTATCAAACGCATGTTTGAGCGTCTCATCCTGGGACTGCTCCAAGGGAAAATCATCGCGCTCAGAGAGAATATTTCCCTCTGACGCGCTCTGTTCCCCCGCCGCAGTGCCCAGAGGTCCCGGTACAGTGTCTCCCACCTGCACCAACGCTGTCTTCCCCCGCTGTTTTTTCCCCCGAGCGGCACCCGCACATAAAAATTTCAACAAATTCGTAAAGCCCGGCCAATCCGTACCCAAAATTAGCGGATGCCGGAGGTGCGGGTTAACAAGAGAGTTTCACATGTAATATGTAGCTATTTCATATGCAAGCATGTCAGCCAATCACAGCAGTGGGCGGTTACATTGAATCCCACAGCAGGCAAACCGTCTAACAGACCGTTCTAAGCAGAGGCTAAAATCAGGCTAGGAAAAATGCCTTTTATTTCTAAATTATGACTATTTTTGATCTAAAAAACATACTAACATTATAAGGGCAACCCAGGAAACATTATAGAATAATAAACAAAACCCATTCAGGGGACCTTTAAGGGGCCTTGTGAAGGCACATCTTAACTGGTAAAAGTTGGGACCTTTCAATAAAAGGTCCAAAATATTAGGAATACTTTAAGCTTTGTTGCTATGGGTCATGAGGAAGCAACTGAGTAGGCTTGCTTGTATTATACCCACCCAACGTATCTGTACCAGGCACACTTTTTGACATGACGTGCCACACCTGTTTGAGGCTGAGTAAACGTAATAAACTAAGGGCCAGATTTACGAACAGCTGGCGCCAGCAACAACCCTCTTTTGGCATTAAAAAACTAAAGACACGCAGTAGAAAATTAGCACTGAAAGGCGGGGACACAGTTATTTTTGTGGCTGACCGCAAAATATGCATTTGTAGAAGTTTCCTTTTCAGATGCAGAATTTATGGGAGGAGAATATTTAAATGAATCACGCAAGGTGATTTGCTAAGGCTAAGGTTTGCGCTCGGCAAGTTATTGGTATTTGTGCCATTATTTACCGCCCCAAAAAAGCACGTCTTAACCCTCTGGGGGCGCTGCTATCACCGGCGATACCAGCTCACTTTTTTCTTATAAGTGCAAAAGAGACTCAAATTACTCTGCTGCTTTTGTTTATCTTTTCTTACATATAAGTGTTATACGTCATTCGATCCTGTTAAGTGTCTATTTTTTTGTGTATACTCACAATAAAAA